TTGAATATTGGTTCCCACTCTCTTCTGGTTTGTAGGGTTTCTGCTGAGAGATCTGCTGTAAGTCTAATAGGCTTCCCTTTGTGGGTAACCTGACCTTTCTCTCTGGCTGCCCTTAGTATTTTCTCCTTCATTTCAACCCTGGTGAATCTGACGATTATGTGCCTTGGAGTTGCTCTTCCTGAGGAATATCTCTGTGGTGTTCTCTGTATTACCTGGAGTTGAATATTATCCTGCCTTACTAGGTTGGGAAATTTTTCCTGAATAATATCCTGAAGCGTATTTTCCAGCTTGGATTCATTCTCTTCGTCACATTCAGGTACACCTATCAAGCGTAGATTAGGTCTTTTCACATAGTCCCATATTTCTTGGAGACTTTGCTCATTCCTTTTTATCCTTTTTTCTCTAATCTTGTCTTCTTGTTTTATTTCATTGAGTTGGTCTTTGACCTCTGATATCCTTTCTTCTGCTTGATCAATTAGGCTGTTAAAACTCGTGCATACTTCACGTAGTTCTCGTATTGCGTTTTTCAGCTCCATCAATTCACTTATATTCCTCTCTAAATTGTGTATTCTTGTTAACATTTCATCAAACCTTTTTTCAAAGTGCTTAGTTTCTTTAGATTGGGTTTGAACAAGTTCTTTTAATTCACAGAAGTTTCTTATTATTCACATTTTGAAGCCTGCTTCTGTAATTGGAACACACTCGTTCTCCATCAGGCCTTGTTTCGTTACTGATGAGGAACTGTGATCCCCTGCTGAGGGAGAGGCGTTCTGATCTTGGGTATTCTCAGCCTTTTTTTGGCTGTTTTCTTCCCTTCGTTGTAGATTTATCCATCTGTGGTCTTTATAATTACTGTCTTTGTAATTGAGTTTCTGAGTGGACGTCCAACTTATTGATTCTCAGCGCCAAAATCTGAGCAACCCACTGCGCCGACTAAATCAGTGGCGTTAAGATTGATGGTGTTTTTCTGACTCTGCACCAAGAACCGACGCTCCGAGGCGCCGGCAAAACCGCCTCGCCGGTCACAAGAGTCGTGCTGGCGACCCATGGGGCTCCTCCGCTGGGAATCTCCTGGTGCATGAGCAACAAGAATTCATGTGAAGGTGTGGCGTCCTCTCGTTCTTTGTGCTTTCACTGGGAGCTACAATCCCGAGCAGCTAGTGATCAGCCATCTTGGATCTCTCCCCGCGGGCTTCCTGATTTTTGAGACAAAATTAGTAGTTGTTTAAGGCCCTTTACCATAGTTATTTCCATTTTTTTAAAAAAGAAAAAACTTTCAACAAAAAGCAATGTAATTGATATTAGATCACAACATGAACGATCAGGAAAGTGACCACATAGGTAATGCAGGAAGGAATCGCTGTGGCTGCACAAAAGGATGTAAAGCAAGTCTTTCATGACCTCTCGCCATTATGCTCCTTTGTGTTTTCCCAAAAGACACCTCCAAAATGACCTAAGTAAAAAGGCTGGGGGCTCGAATACACACAAAACCTCTACAAGTTTGTTGGTGCTCCTCTACCTGGATTATCACTTGGCAAGCCCTTCTTACAGAAACGGTGGCACCCATGACAGTCACAAGTTATATGCAGGTGAGCCAAACCCCACGGTATGCTGTGCTCTTTAACACCTGTGAATACATCATGTTCCTCCCAAACAAGGAGGACAAGGTTTCTATTCCCATTGTTAATCTATTTAAAATCATTACCTTCTCTTTCCTTCCCTCTTTGTTCCTTTCAAAGTCTAGAGAAAAATATATTTTTAAAAACTGTGCTACTATACAAAATTTGCAAAGTGCAATGAAAACAAATTTAAAAAATCCTAGAGCATCTGTACCCAGAGGTAATATATTAAACACAGTTATATGATCTGCCTTTGTAAACAGTGATATAACTACACAGACATCTTTAAACTTTGAAGGGCAGTAGTTTGTTTGTGTCTTATTTTAAACTTAATAGATCATGAGTATTTCCCTTTCCATTTATTCAAGCAACATTCAACATTGCTAATAAATCAGTAAAATGTTATTTAAAATGATTTGGAAAAGCTTCAATTATCTTACTGCAAAGATGTACCATAATTTATCTACTCTTTCATGAATGTGGGGATTTAGGTTGTGTCTAAGGTTTACTATTGCAAACAAATAATACCATGATGAAAATCCTTTGATTCCACCTCAATTTCCTTGGGGCAAAAAAGACCTGCATCAGTCTCCCTTCCATCTTCCCTGGGGAAGACTTCTCCTTGCCCTGGCTGTGACTCCACCACTACCACAGAGGCCCACGGTACACAGCACCAACAGCTTCCTGCCCAACCCAGGCCAGGCAAGGCCAGGCCAGCCCGCAGTGCTCTTACCCACCTTCCCAGTCCTCAGAGTTGCTGTTGCGGCCACCACTAGCGCCAATGCCAATACCACTGCTGTCTGCCTCAACGCAGTGACCCATTCTAAAAGGCTCCTGCCACCTGGCCACCTCTGCACCCCTGTCCCTGCCCTGGTGGCAGCCAGCCACCCTCCTACCTCTCTGGCACTCTGCAGTCTCCATCACTGCCACCCACCGCAGCGACGCGAGCTGTGGTGTCACAGGCTCCAGCCTCTAGCATGCAGCAGATGGCTCTTCCTACTCCTGGAATGGAGCAGCTGGGCGGGTAAAGCCAGAAAAGCCTAGAATGGGACACAGAGAGTGGTAGCGTTAGATCCCCCACCTTGTCATGCTGGCCACTGGGTGGCACGGGCCAGTTTCAGTGAAGACGTTCACACCCACCCTCCAAAGTCCATAGCATCTCTTTTTGGCCCAAACTGGCTAGGGAGTGGAGACTGGATATACCATGGTGCCTGGGCTTCCCGCTCTACAGGAACCACTGGGACCACCCAGGCTGTGTTCAGGAAGCAGGAGCAACAGAAACTCAGTCCCAGCCAGCCCTTCCCACCAAAGTGCTGGTTCCCATTCCTGAGACCTCCACCCACAGGGCCCTGTCACCCCATGGTGTCTGCTACTCCATGCCTGGGCATCCTTGGCAGTCTCTGCAACACAGAATGTGAGGGCTAGGGCCTGGGAACCATGATCGGTCTGGGGGCCCTGCTATGATCAGGATTTTCACAGAAACATGTGCCTGCCATGCAGGAGGAGATGGCCCTTTAGAGTTTAGAATCCAGGGAGAGGAGGACCACTCCTCTCTCAGAGACCACCACTGTCACTGAAACCTCCATTGCCTGCCACCAGCAGTGCAGCTTCTGACAAAGCCCCTAACCCGCTGCCACTGGCAGTGTAGCCCCAGGATAGTGCCAACACCCCATCCCCCACTACCAGCAGTGTAGCACGTGATGGCAGCCCCTAACCTGCCCCTGCCTTAGACACTGCAGCACTCGATGGCACCCGCAAACCACCCCCCTGCCATGGGCAGCACAGACTGGGATAGCACCCCAACCAACTCCCTGCGGTGGGCAGTGTAGCCACAGATAGCGTCCCCAACCAGACCCCCACTGCAGGTGGTGATACCCTCATATGGCACCCAAACCACCCCCCACTGCAAGCACTGCAACCCTGAATAGTGGGTGCCCTAACCCACTCCCCGTTGGGAACAGTGCGGCCCTGGATAGTGCCCCCAACCAACTCCCTGCCTTGGGCAGTGCAGCCACAGATAGCACTCCAAACTGCTTCTCCACCTTGGGAAGTACCACCATGGACAGCTCAGGTAGCCCCTGCCACAACCAACACAGCCCAGAACAGCACACTCATCCACTCTCTGCTAGGCAGTGCAGACCCCTGAGAGCACCAAACCCACCCGCAGCCTCCCCTTGACTCAGGCTGTGTATACAACCCCAAGAGTGCCCCAACCAACCCTCTACCCCAATCCATGGGCAGTCCAACCCTGTGTAGCTCTCCCAAAAAGCCCCCCCACCTCTGTCTTGGTGTAGTCCCCATAGCGCCTTTAACACCACTCCTCCTCACCACCAGCAGTGTAGCACCCTGTAGTAACCCTAACCCATCCTCCACCACCAGCACTGCAGCCCCAGATAGTGCCCCTAACCCGCTCCCCATGTGGGTAATGCAGCCTTGGATAGTGCCCCCAACCAGCTCCCAGACACAGGCAATGATGTCCTGGAAATCACAATCCCCACCCACTGGGGGCAATGTAACACTTGATAGCACCCCCAACACACCCCTCACCACTGGCAGTGTTGCACCCCATAGTGCCACCAACCCACCCCCGACAAGGGCATTGCAGCACCTGATAGCTCCTCCAACTCGCCCCCCACCTAGGGCAGTACATTCCCGGATAGTGCCCACAAAATGCCCCACTGCTGCAGGCAGTACGGCTTGGGACAGGCCCCATCCCACCCCCCAGCAATGGGCAGCACACCCCAAGAAAGGGCCCCCAACCCTCTCCCCTCTGCGGGCAGTGGCACCTCAAATAACCCCCCCAAAGAGCCCTGGCAACACCAGCAGTGACACCCTGGATAGGGCCCACCGTCCATGGCAGCGCACCCCCAAGCCGTCTCCCGTGCCTCAGGCTGTGCAGGCCAGGATGGCGAATCTATCCCGCCATCTTTTTGCCTTTCCAGCTGTACTGTAGTCTCCGTCACCGCCATCAACCGCAACAGCCAGGCGACCCGATACTGCAGGCTCCAGCCTGCAGCATGGACAGCGGGCGGCTACTCCTCCTTCTCCTGTATGCCAGCTCAGGAAGGGTAGGCCCGCGTACTCAGAACTCTTGAGTCTGATACGGCCAGGATCCCTCCTGCCATTCTTTATATAAGGCATGCTAGACTCCATGTTCTGATTGGATGAGAGCAAACTTCAAGGTCTACTCTAATTGGGCTTTATTTGTATGTTCTGATTGGTTAGCCTAAGACTTGTTCTCATCCCGCTGGCCAGGCCGAGCTGCGGCCCCTTTAAGGGGGTGGTAGTGCTTCAGCTTGACGCGAGGGACGCTGCCAGCGTGCGTGCGCCTACAAAAGCCGGGACTGCGCTTCCTGCGGGGATCCGGCGGGAGCAGCGGCGCGGTCGGAGGCTGGCCGCGGAAGCCGCGCCACGGCCCTAGGAAGTCCGCAGAAGCGGCCGTGTAGCCCGAAGGGGGCCGCAGAGGCGGCAGCGCGGTCAGATAGAGTCAGCAGAGGCCGCGCCACGGCCCTAGGGAGTCCGCAGAAGCGGCCGTGTAGCCGGAAGGAGGCCGCGGAGGCGGCGGCGCGGTCGGACAGAGTCAGCAGAGGCCACGGCGCCGCCGGAGGGAGGCCGCGGCACGGTCGGCGCGGTCGGAGGGAGTCCGCAGAGGCCGAGGCGCGGTCGGACGGAGTCAGCAGAGGCCGCGGTCGGAGGGAGTCAGCAGAAGCGGTGGCGCTGCCGGAGGGAGCCCGCAGAGGCCGCGGCGCGGTCGGAGGGAGCCCGCAGAAGCGGAGGTGTGATCAGAGGGTCTTAGGAGAAGCCGTGATAGCTTCCACGTAATGGTGGAGGAGGAGGCAGGTAAGGGGCGGGGACTCGTACCCCACCGGGAACCCTCCAGATCTCCCTGCTCGTTCTACACGGCTCCCTGTTTTCCGGCCCTGACTTTGTGGGCATTTGGGCCCCAGTCGTTTGCGTGGGGGCAGTTGAAGGGTCCTGGCCGTGGCAGCATCTGCAGCCCTGACAGGAAGGCTATGCCCCCACCGTCTACAGGTGCATAGGCACCGAGCCTGTGGTGAAGCCCGGGACCTGGGTCACTCTGAACCCCACGGGTCTCTGAGCTGGGGTATCCTAATTTTCGTTTCCACCTACAGTGTGTAAGTTCCCCTTTTGCTAAAATCACACCCGCATTTCTTTCTTATTTTATTTTATTTTTTTTTAAGAGACTGAGTCTGGCTTTGTCGCCCAGGCTGGAGTGCAGTGCCGCAATCTCGGCTCACTGCAGCCTTCATGTCCTGAGTTCAGGTAATTCTCCTGTCTCAGCCTCCTGAGTAGCTGGGACTACAGACGCCCACCACGATGACGCCAGTCTAATATTTGTATTTTTAGTAGAGATGGGGTTTAACCCTATTGGTCAGGCTAGTTTCAAACTCCTGACCTCAGGTAATGCGCCCAGCTAGGCCACCCAAAGTGCTGGGATTACAGGCGTGAGCCACTGTGCCTGTTGAACTACAGTTTCCTAATGAATAGTTCATTTTGAGGACCTGGCCTCTTATCTGTTGTTCTATTTTATATCTACAGAATTGTCTGGTCAGGTTCTAGATTGGGTTCTTTTTCTATTTTGTAGTTTTTTGTGTGTGTACACCTTAGGTGACAACTCCTCATGAATTGTATGATTGCCTGAAATTTTTGCCTCATCTATAGGATTTTTTTTTAAATTTGGAAAGTAGTTTTCCTTGCTGTGCAAAGATTTTTCAGGTTTGTGAGTGCCACTCGGCACTGTAATTTGGTATTTAGGATTGCGGGTCCTCACTTTGATTGTATTTCTCAGGATTCCTTTAGACCATTGCTTTTGTGGTTCCCTGTGTTAACTTTTTTCCACAACATAAAGGTCCATAATTAGGGGTACATTTTCATACATATAGATTGGTTAATGATCAAATCAGGGTACTTAGGATTTCTGTTGCCTCATACAGGTATCATTTTTGTGTGGAGAGAACATTCAAAAGTCTCCCTTCTTGCCCTTTTGAAAAATACAGTATTGTTAACTCCAGTCACCAGGCTGAGGAGGAGAACACTGATTTAGTCCTTCAACGGTAAGATAACTTTGTTTTCATAACCGATCCCCATTCTCCCTCCATCTTCCAGACTCTAGTTACCAATATTTTGCTTTCTACTTAAGATAAACGTCTTAAGATTTCACAGCAGTGGTATTATGCAGTGCGTGTCTTTCTGGGCCTAGTTCATTACATTTAACATCATGTTTTCCAGGTTCATCTGGGTTGCCCTAAATGATGCTGTTTGATTATTTTGATGGCCAAAGAATATTCCTGAATGTATACGAGAGTTTCTTGGCCTCTATATCTGTGGATGAACAGGTAGGTTGAATGTCTACCCAGTAGTGGGACTGCTAGATGGCATGGTATTTCTTTCTGTGTTTTATTCTTTGCAGGATTCCCGACTTTTTTTTAATAGTGTTAATACTAATTTATGTTTCCACAAACAGTTCCCCTTTTGGAAATTCATATCAGAAGATGTCTTTTGAAATATTTTAATGTTTTAGTAATGTTCATTCTAGTTGGAGTGAGATAAGATCTGAGTGTGGTTTTGATCTACATTTTTCTCATGAGTAGTAATGTTACCCAAGATTTTGTAATCATTGGTTCAGTTTCCTGTCTTTGCACAAATATCTATTCAGGTTATTTGCCCAATTTTGATCTGGTTATTTTTCTGTTGTTTAGTTTTTTTGTCAGCTGGTAGTTTTACTGGCTTGTGCCTTTTCAAAAATAACCCCTTATTCACTGTGTGTGTGCCCAGATTTTTAAATAATTTTCAGTATGCTTTTTCATTTTGTTCGTTTTTTATCTTTGTTGGGCACAAACTCTTCAGTTTCACATGGTCCCACATATGCATAATTTTCTGGTTAGCTGTGCTGTTGGTTGCTAATCAAAAAAAAAAGTCACTACCAAAGCAGTCCATTGTCAATGATTTTTTCCCTTGTATTTTTGTTACTTTTTGTAAACTGTGAGCATACATCCAAGTTGCCCTAAATATACCCATACCCGAGGTTGTCTTTATAGGAGCTTTATGGTTGCAAGTTTTGTATAGAATCTTTTAGTCTTTTTGAATTTATTGCACACTTAATGGCATAAGAGTCCTATATTATTCTTTAGCATGTGGCTATGTGGTTTTGAAAACCTTCCCTATTGTGTCATTTTGGTGGTGTTTTGAAAAATGTTCACCCTATAAATTTGTGTTTATTATTATGTACACAGTGTTATTTGTGTTTATTATTGTGCCCTCATTTTGCTCACTGGTCTGTGTTTCTCTGCGTATGACAGCAACATATGGGTGGGTTAACTAGAGATTTTTCATTTAATTAGAACTCAGGGAATGTGATTCACCCCACATGGCTTGTATTTCTCAGGATAGCTTTGGAAATTCTGGGTGTTTCACATTTCCACATAAATTTAGCATTGTTTCTTCATGTTTCTTTTTTTTTTTTTTTGCATTTAGTGGATTAACATTATGGATGTGATTTATATTCTTTTTAATTGCATTTTAGGTTTTGGGGTACATGTGAAGAACATGCAAAATTGTTGCATAGGTACACACATGGCAGTGTGATTTGCTGCCTTCCTCCCTTCACCTATATCTGGCATTTCTCCCCATGGTATCTCTTCCCAACTCCCGACCCCACACTGTCCCTCCCCTATTTCCCCCCAACAGACCCCAGTGTGTGATGCTCCCCTCCCTGTGTCCATGCGTTCTCGTTGTTCAGCGCCCATCTATGAGTGAGAACATGCGGTGTTTGATTTTCTGCTCTTTTGTCAGTTGGCTGAGAATGATGGTTTCCAGGTTCATCCATGTCCCTACAAGGGACATGAACTCATCGTTTTTGATGGCTGCATAGTATTCCATGGTGTATATGTGCCACATTTTCCCTGTCTAGTCTATCATTGATGGGCATTTGGGTTGGTTCCAGGTCTTTGCTATTGTAAACAGTGTTGCAGTGAACATTCGTGTGCATGTGTCCTTATAGTAGAACGATTGATAATCCTTTGGATATATACCCAGTAATGGGATTGCTGGGTCAAATGGAATTTCTATTTCTAGGTCCTTGAGGAATCGCCACACTGTCTTCCACAGTGGTTGAACTAATTCACACTCCCACCAACAGTGTAAAAGTCTTCCTATTTCTCCACATCCTCTCCAGCATCTGGTGTCTCTGGATTTTTTAATGATTGCCATTCTGACTGGCATGAGATTGTATCTCAGTGTGGTTTTGATTTGCATTTCTCTGATGACCAGTGATGATGAGCATTTGTTGGCCTCATGTATGTCTTCTTTCGTAAAGTATCTGTTCATATCCTTTGCCCACTTTTGAATGGGCTTGTTTTTTTTTTTTTTTTTTTTTTTTTCTTGTAAACCTATTTTAGTTCTTTGTAAATTCTGGATATCAGCTCTTTGTCAGATGGGTAAACTGTAAAAATTTTTTCCGGCTGGATGCGGTGGCTCAAGCCTGTAATCCCAGCACTTTGGGAGGCCGAGGCAGGTGGATCACGAGGTCGAGAGATCGAGACCATCCTGGTCAACATGGTGAAACCCCATCTCTACTAAAAATACAAAAAACTAGCTGGGCATGGTGGCGCGTGCCTGTAATCCCAGCTACTTAGGAGGCTGAGGCAGGAGAATTGCCTGAGCCCAGGAGGCGGAGGTTGCGGTGAGCCGAGATCACGCCATTGCACTCCAGCCTGGGTAAGAAGAGCGAAACTCCGTCTCAAAAAAAAAAAAAATTTTTTTCCCATTTTGTTGGTTGCCAATTCACTCTAACGACTGTTTCTTTTGCTGTGCAGAATCTGTGGAGTTTGATTAGGTCCCGTTTGTCTATTCTGGCTTTTGTTGCCAATGCTTTTGGTGTTTTGGTCATGAAGTCCTTGCCTACGCCTATGTCCTGAATGGTTTTGCCTAGATTTTCTTCTAGGGTTTTTATGGTGTTAGGTCTTATGTTTAAGTCTTTAATCCATCTGGAGTTAATTTTAGTGTAAGGTGTCAGGAAAGGATCCAGTTTCTGCTTTCTGCACATGGCTAGCCAGTTTTCCCAACACCATTTATTAAACAGGGAATCCTTTCCCCATTGCTTGTTTTTGTCAGGTTTGTCAAAGATGAGATGGTTGTAGATGTGTGGTGTTGCCTCCGAGGCCTCTTAAAACACTATTTGTCATATACTAAATGTAATTAGAGGAAACAAGGAAGATTTTGATAGAGAATTGATTCCTCTCATCTGAGAGTAACTTTGTACCCATTACTGATTCCTTCCAAGACCCCCTCCATCTCCCCAGCAGCCTCTGGTAATGCCCATTGAACTTTCTACTACTACTATTTTTTTTTTTTTTTTTTTTGAGACGGAGTTTCGCTCTTGTTACCCAGGCTGGAGTGCAATGGCGCGATCTCGGCTCACCGCAACCTCCGCCTCCTGGGTTCAGGCAATTCTCCTGCCTCAGCATCCTGAGTAGCTGGGATTACAGGCACGTGCCACCATGCCCAGCTAATTTTTTGTATTTTTAGTGGAGACGGGGTTTCACCATGTTGACTAGGATGGTCTCGATCTCTCGACCTCGTGATCCACCCGCCTCGGCCTCCCAAAGTGCTGGGATTACAGGCACACGCTACCATGCCCGGCTATTTTTTTGTATTTTTAGTAGAGACGGGGTTTCACCATGTTGACCAGGATGATCTCAATCTCTTGACCTTGTGATCCACCCGCCTCGGCCTCCCAAAGTGAACTTTCTACTTCTAGGGGATAAAGTTTTTTCAGTCTACCGCAGCCGAAAATAAAATACACTGAGCCTCAGTGGACCCTCCCTGCCTCCCTGCCAGCCCATCACTTTAACCTTGACTCCGTTCCAGCCTTCCCCAGCAACCCCGTTCAGGCCCCCTTCCCCTAAACTTGGGAAGCCCCTAACCCTAACCCGAACCCCATGCCCCTGCCCAGAGCCAGCCCCCACTGGGAGCCCCTGATCACTTCCACCCTCCCCCCGGCACCCGGGACCCTGGTATAGATTTCCCTGCTGAATATTTATAAGCATGCAAACAACCCCAAAGAATCCCCAGGGACCTGCTCCCCTGCACCAGGGGAAACCCTGTATGCCGATTTACATGGTATGCAAACGAGCATGCAAATGACCCTCTAAAACATCCCTGGGGCAGGCCCCCTCCACCTGCTGGGAACCAGAAATTCAAATCTCTCTGTGAATATTTAGATATGCAAATGAGAACCCCCAAATTAAAACACACCACACCCTTCAGGGCACACGAGCATGGAGGGCACAGGAGCATGGACGGTGCCTGACTACCCAGCCTTCCTACTTTTGTGAGGCCCTATTTTTTTTTTTTTTTTTTTTTTTTTTTTTTTTGAGACGGAGTTTCGCTCTCGTTACCCAGGCTGGAGTGCAATGGCGCGATCTCGGCTCACCGCAACCTCCGCCTCCTGGGTTCAGGCAATTCTCCTGCCTCAGCCTCCTAAGTAGCTGGGATTACAGGCACGCGCCACCACGCCCAGCTAGTTTTTTGTATTTTTAGTAGAGACGGGGTTTCACTATGTTGACCAAGATGGTCTCGATCTCTCGACCTCATGATCCACCTGCCTCGGCCTCCCAAAGTGCTGGGATTACAGGCTTGAGCCACCGAGCCCGGCCGTGAGGCCCTATTTTTATCCTTTTCCTGGTGGCTGCTGCATGATGTCATCTTTCTTGGGTGCCATCTTTGATGACATATTTACACAATACCGCTATCTTGGTTTCACCTGTATCCCATAGAATCTCATCCCCTTTAAAAAATTTGTTTTCAGAAGGAAACCAACCCAATACGATCCAGAAACCCAACCCTAAAAAGAGAAAAGACAAGTCAAAAAAGAGAAAAAGTTTCAAAATAACACTAGACTCTCCCTGGGGCTCCCCTGTACCCTAACCTGAACCCTGACCCCGAGCCATGAATATTCATGCATCCTCATGAATATTCGTGAAATACTGATAATCAATAGGCATTTATGTAAAACCCTGACCCGAACCCGAACCCTAAACTCTAAACCCCTAACCATGACCCCAGACTGATTGATTATGTAAAACCCTGACCCTGATTCTGAGGTGAGACATAGAAGAAAGACTTCGAGAAGTTTGTACATTCAGTGACATAATGCATTTTATTCTTTAGTCGATGTTAGAAAGCAGAGGCTTGTATCTCTTGAAGAGTTTCTATCTGACATAAAGAATGATATACAAGGCCGGGCGCGGTGGCTCAAGCCTGTAATCCCAGCACTTTGGGAGGCC